TATCCAGTATTCTAATGCTGATTTCAATAAACTCAGTATTTATTTATTTATTCTTAAATACTGCAGTGATATGTAAATGACTGCCTAATTAGCATAGATAAGGCATAAAAACTATATAAGTGTTCAAACAGTAAGGGAGTAAGTAAACAGAATATGATACGAAAAATTAATGATTACTGCCGGACTAAGAAAATATGAAGGAAATCACATTTCATAACAATGGTGTTGCCAATATAAAATACATTATCCCTTGAAGACCCTGACTCTGTAGAATCCTGGCTTAGAGGTTTTGCAGCAAGAGCTAGAACCAAGAAACTAAGAGACAACGAAGTTATGGGTCTTTTTTTGACTACAGATAATAAAGGAAACATATGCAACCTAAAAAGAGATTACTAATTGCAGAGAGAGCAAAATTCATGGCTAACAAACAAGAACTGATGAACTTGTTACAAATTTTTTGCATTGTCTAAAAATGAATCTCAATATTGTGAGTTTGAAACTTCAGAAGAGTCGTTGAATGAAGAAGAGAGTTCTGAATATTAAACAAAGTGAGACAGTTTGAGATTTCCATTAATATCTCAAGAGATAGAAAGTAGATATGAAAGAAACTGCAAAAATGAATTAAAGATCAGAAGTGATCGAAGTGACTGGGGCATAAGACAGGAGATGTAGTGATATGTAAATGACTATCTAATTAGTATAGATAAGGCATAGAGACTATATACATGTCAAAGCAGTAAGGGGAAGGATAGAATATGATATGCAAGATTAATGACTACTGCTGGACTGAGAAGATACAAAGGAAATCACATTTCATAGGTGATCAAAATTAGACTGGAGAAAAAGCATATAAAATTTTATAAATTTTATTATATAAGAAAAAATAATTTATTCTTTTCAGTTCTTGATTTAAAAATATAAAATCTAATTTTAAAAATGCACTGGATATAAAGTATATTTTTATAGAATTACTTTATATCTATTGTATTATTATTAAAGTTCTAACATATTTTGTTGATAGCCTCATTACAGACAAATTGTTATAATTTAGGTGTATTTTTGTCAGCCTAACTCAGTAATTGTAAATTACTATGTGTAATGATAGTAATGGGGGAGCTATGGAAGAAAGGTTTATTCTCTTATTTGCATTTCCCCAATTATGGGCATTATTATATCCATGATATAATAATACCATATTTCACAGATGGAACAGAATAGCTTAAGAAAAGGAATGACAAACATGTTTTGTTCTTAGAGTTTTCTGATGCTTTAGGTTGTACACAAAATTATATATACATATTTACATTTGTCCCACACAGAGAAACTTTATCACATGGCTACAACAACAAATAGTAGGAGAGTCTTACTTGTAAGGTTTCCTGAAGGGAAAACTGGAGTTACAGTGGTTTCTTTATGAACCTGGTTTATATAGAGAAACATTTATTCAACATAATGAACAAAACATTAGAAATAAACAATACAAGTTGAATGTACTTGTTGAAAATTCTATTGTCCAGGTTTTTCATATTAAAAGTCTGAACATCCAAATTCCAAACAATAATAAAGTAAAAATAAAGAAAACATGGGTATGCCTGTTAAATAAATCAGTTGTATTTACAAACATATATAAATGAATATAAAAGAGTTAAAAAGGAGTGAAAATAGTCTTTAGTTGAGTTAAAATCTTTGGGCAGGTGGTCCACAGAAAAACTAGAAAAAAGACTTTTAGTAGTTGGTCCCCAATCAAAGCTGTGGTTGAGAAAGGATTTTGATCATCAACAAAGATTCAGTGTCCCTTCTGTTATTAGAGATAATTTCTTGAAGTTGCTGATTGATGTTTCTTTCAGGTGTTGTTCATTGCTGATATTTAATTTAGTGAATTTCCCTAAATTAAATATCAATTGACAGTTATCTTTGTGCATTAAAAAAAGGTAATATTATTTAAAAAGAAAATAAACTTTATTGTAATATGCATAAAAAGTCATGCATTTAATCATGGTTTATGGTTCTGTAGACTCTTCCACAACACAACCAGCCTTACCTCTTTGTAGGAAATGCACTCTTCCTATCTAGTAAGCCAAATTCTACCTTCAGACAATATAACAAGTATTCATTGGCCAATTACCTCCAATCTGGCTTGCTGATTGGTCAGTTCCGACCAATCAAACCGTCTGCATGCGACTAAGCTGTTTTCCCGCTCTTATGCTGGGAGCCACCTGGTGATTATATAAACAGAAAACGTGTGAACCTTCTGAGCAGTAATTACCAAGTTTCAAGATGTAACATTCACCGACTCCCGTCTTAGTCATTGCTGACCAGACGTTAAAGACAATTACCAACTTCATACAGTCAGACCTCTTCACCTAGAGAGAAGCCAATCAACTCCATGCCAGTCAAAACTTAGACTTTGCCACGCAAAAAGATACATCGCTGACTCATACTCGATCAAGATTCAATCAACTCTGTGTACACCATTTCTCAACATTTGCTTATCTAAAGTGAATCAAATTCACTACTTACTAAGTAAACTCTACGAACGAACGACCTTAGAAAAATATTACAGCTAAAGGTAGATCAATCTTAAAAAACTCTTTCTATAAGACACTTAATATCAACAATCGCAAATATCGACACAAACAAAAAATACTCCAAATGAACGAACAATTACGAAGTGAGACATTCTGAGATCTGAAGAAACTGCATACACATTTTGCCTACACAACATACATCAATTATCCTGTCTGTATATTGTTTGATTTGTATATAAATGTTGTATTGATTCCTAATTGAATATGTCTCGTTTTTCAATTGCATTTTAAATTTCTATTTGTTTGGGGATGCAGAAAGTCACTCAAATTCCTTCTGATTCTTTCTAACATCATTAATAAACTCTGCACGTCCCCAACAGTTAAATTTCAAGAAAATATCTTCTTTAACATGAATGTGTGCTTAAAAGTTTTTGGGCCAGCCTATTTCCAAAAATAAAAACTCTGATATTTGGTAATTAAAATACTTGAAAAGTTGGTTGTGCCAAGAACTTTTCAGCACCCTCTTATAGAATTAAATCTTGTTCAGAATCAATCAAGGACATTAAAAAGGAAAATTCATATTGCTGTTTTTGAAAAGTTAACAGTTCAATTTAAATTCTACCACCCACCAGCCCTAAATCTTCATTGGCCTTTGTAGTCTTTTGTATAAAATGTACAATGATAACAACAATAAAAACTTGAGACATATGTTGACATAAATAACAAGAATTTGTGTTTTCTTTTTGTGATGTGAATTACAGAATATTGGTATAGTGTATGAAAAATGTTGTCAGTGTCACTGTTGTTTAAAAGTCAGTACTTGGCTTGGTTCTGAGAATTTTGTTTGTGAGGATGATATTTGAAATTGTCTGTTGTCAGACTTCATGGAGCACTGGAAGACATGTGTCTCGGTACTGCTACTTCTCTACTCATCAACTGATTACTACTACGGGTACCCTCGTCTACTCTACTTTTGCAGTGGAAAAGTCGTTTTTATAATGATGAGGGTTAGGATGGAATGTCCTTCTTTTCTATCATCACTGTTTATAGCAAGGTTATTTTTAGAATGATGAAATATCATCATCATTCTAGACCATAACAGATATAGTAAACAGGCATCCCCTTTTGGGCATAGAACTAGCCCTCTACATAAGGATACAGTGGTCATATTCTTGACCCCAACTGACAGAGCAGAAAAAAAGCTATGTCTACTTGTTTTTTTAATATTTTCAATAATTAAATTTGAGTATTTGTCTGCTAAATTTAATTCATTTTTACAGAACCTTCCATATGTATCACATGGTTAAGAGTGTTTTACTTCTCTCTGTACCAGGTTCCATTTGACAGACAACAAAGTCACCTGGGCACATGAGATCTAAAGCCCCAAACACCATATATTTCACTTAAAAGGTGTCTAGTCATTACCTAATACCTACATTTGATACTGAAATACCAAAATCATTTTTGGAAGTGTGTTGAAATATAAAAAACAACTAACATCTATAACAACAGTTTTTATCTGTAAATATTAAAGTTTTGGATTTTGATAATGGCTAAACAAATAGACAAAATGTGTGATCAAAACTTTACATACGTTAACTACTGACCTATATTTCCTTGCACAGAAACAAGAAAGATTAAATAAAAAGTTTATAAAAAGAAAACAATCTTTGTATATGGCCTTCAACTAGACATGAATTAAAGAAGAATTACTGAATAAGTACACAATAAAAAGGTTCTAAATTATATTTCTTACCACTGAGTTTTCAAAAACAGGTCAAATTATAACATTTCACTGTTAGTTTCTCATCAGAATTTGCTATTAATATGCTGAGGCTTATTAAATTATTCTAAGTTTTATCATGCTTGGTAATTTTCATATTGAAAGTGATTATGTTTTCATTAGATGAAAAGATGAAAGATGGAGACCAAATAAAACCTAACAAAAATATCAAATGAAAAATTAATTTTGTGGAAGGAAAAAATGAATAGGATAATTTCATGGGGGTTTTGTAGTATTTACTCATTAGTACTAAAGCCAGATATGTTATGAGTGAAATCAAAGAAGGTATATAGTAATGTTTGTCATTATGCTGTAGGAAAAAATTGCCTCCTGTGTCGAACTGCTTATAGATTTATGAATAACAAGTTTGAAAATCAGTAATTTGTGATTATTTACAAAAATTGGTAAAGAAAAGAAATGTTGCCTTGCTAGTAAGTTCTTATAATAATACTTTTAGCAACCTTAATTTTATTTAAAAAAGAAAAAATAGTGTAAAAAAACAAGCTTTGTTTTAATTTCTTAATAATTTGTAATTTATGCTAACATTCTTTAAAAGCCTTATGTAGTCTTTCTCTAATATATATATATATATATATATATATATATATATATATATGTAGAATGATGATTGCATTTAGCATGAAACAGTTTGTTGCCTCTGAGTGTTATATATTAGGAAAAGCTAATAGCCACATCATGTTGAAACACCTGTTCCTGTATGATCACCAAAGTTAAGCAATGTTGAGCATGGTCAGTACCTTGATGGGTAACTGACAGTGAATACCAGGTGCTGTAAGCTTGGATGTGTCAGTGGTGTAATGAATAATGTCTTGGAATCGTTAATCGGAGAGCCAAGTTCCAATTCCTGTTAGTTTCATTATATTCATTTAAGTGCAAATACCTCTTCTCCTCCCAGCCATGGGTTAATTAGCAAGACTTGTATAACTAAACCTTTATTATCTCAAAAAAATTCTTATAATCTAAAAATATTTTCTGGCTTTAAATAACCTGCAAAGCATTGATAAGCAGTAAAAAAACAAACAAATCAATCTGTATTCACTAATTTTCTCTTTCATATCTTTTTCCCCCATGTATTTTTCAAATTCTATTGCATTGTGGAAATGAAAAGACAGGCAGTTGATAGCCATATATTGTATTATGTATGTGCATAACGCTTTACAGAGTACAGAGATATTATACTTATTCTAGGTAGAAGTGATAATTTCATCCTAGGCAGAGGGCAAAGAAACTCTGATCCTAAGCAGAAGTGTTGGGAAATGATACTCTGCTTTCAGGCTGAAGTGTCAGGAAGTGACACACTGATCCTAGGCAGAAGTGTTGGGGAGTGATACTCTGATCCTAAGCAGAAGCATTGGGAAATTATACTCTGATCCTAAGCAGATGTGTAGGGAAATGATACTCTGCTTTCAGGCAGAAATGTCAGGAAGTGACACACTTATCCTAGGCAGAAGTGTTGGGGAATGATACTCTGATCCTAAGCAGAAGCATTGGGAAATTATACTCTGATCCTAAGCAGAAGTGTTGGGAAATGATACTCTGCTTTCAGGCAGAAGTGTCAGGAACTGACACACTGATCCTAGGCAGAAGTGTTGGGGAGTGATACTCTGATCCTAAGCAGAAGCATTGGGAAATTATACTCTGATCCTAAGCAGAAGTGTTGGGAAATGATACTCTGCTTTCAGGCAGAAATGTCAGGAACTGACACAATGATCCTAGGCAGAAGTGTTGGGGAGTGATACTCTGATCCTAAGCAGAAGCATTGGGAAATTATACTCTGATCCTAAGCAGAAGCATTGGGAAATTATACACTGATCCTAAGCAGAAGCATTGGGAAATTATACTCTGCTTTCAGGCAGAAGTGTCAGGAAGTGACACACTGATCTTAGGCAGAAGTGTTGGGGAGTGATACTCTGATCCTAAGCAGAAGCATTGGGAAATTATACTCTGATCCTAAGCAGAAGTGTTGGGAAATGATACTCTGCTTTCAGGCAGAAATGTCAGGAACTGACACACTGATCCTAGGCAGAAGTGTTGGGGAGTGATACTCTGATCCTAAGCAGAAGCATTGGGAAATTATACTCTGATCCTAAGCAGAAGCATTGGGAAATTATACTCTGATCCTAAGCAGAAGCATTGGGAAATTATACTCTGCTTTCAGGCAGAAGTGTCAGGAACTGACACACTGATCCTAGGCAGAAGTGTTGGGGAGTGATACTCTGATCCTAAGCAGAAGCATTGGGAAATTATACTCTGATCCTAAGCAGAAGTGTTGGGAAATGATACTCTGCTTTCAGGCAGAAGTGTCAGGAAGTGACACACTGATCTTAGGCAGAAGTGTTGGGGAGTGATACTCTGATCCTAGGCAGAAAGAGTGGGAAATTATACTCTGATCCTAAGCAGAAGTGTAGGGAAGTGATACTCTGATCCTAAGCAGAAGCATTGGGAAATTATCTTCTGATCCTAAGCAGAAGTGTAGGGAAATGATACTGTGATACCAGGCCAAATTGTCGGGAAGTAATCTCTGATCCCAGGCAGTCAGGAAATGATAATTTGATCCTAAGCAGAAGTATTGGAAAAATGAGGCAGAAGTGATACTCCATTCCCAGGCATTACATTACTAGTGAGTAGTGATTTTGTTTCATAGTCTTGATTCATACAGTTGTGGCTTATTGCAAAAAGTATCTCTACATTCTAACAGAAAGGGTAAATATGTTTTATTGAGAAAAAGTTTAGTGTTTCAAAATGTTTAAATTGATCTTAATTATAGGGATAAAAATTACAAAATTTAGGGTTTTATTTCTAACTCATGATGCCATTTCTAATACTAATCCCATTAATATATTGAAAAAATTCAAATCATTTTATGATCTAATAGTTACTATAGTCATTCTGTGGGAAAATGAAATTAAATTGATAAATAGAATAATAACTAATAACAAAAAAAAAAAGAAATACATTTTCCCATGGTGCTAAGAGTAAAGGACCCAGAAATATGATTACCCCACTTTGTTTCATCAAATGTTGTTAGGTGGCACTATTGAAGTCTACAAAAAGACAAACATTTCCTGCCTTATTCTCTTTGCTCCAAGATGTAGAACCACATGGAATATATGTTTCCACTTGGGAATGTTATTTTCTCTGGTCCACTGGCAACTGAAATCTCTCTTTACTTACCAATGCATGTTTAAAACTTCCAGTGATAAAGTTCCAACTCTGTGCAAATCTGACTTGAGCTCAACCATTAATACAATGCTTATACTTACTTACTATAACTCCTCGACCAAAAAGAAAATGGACATCCTCAAGAAACATTGAGGACTTTGTTTCACTACTTTCCAATGCATGGTGCTTGCATGTGTTTTCCAAAAACCTTTACTTATGAAATAAGTCAAGCTTCCTCTTTGGTTGTTCCAACTCAGTGCATGGCTGACTTGAACGTGGTCATTGTAACAATGCTTATACATATTTACCTTAACTTTTGGACCAAGAAAAAGAAAAAGAAACATCCCATAACCATGTTTAAAACTTACAGTGATAAAGTAAGTACAAACCTTCATTTGGTTGTTCCAACTCTGCACAAAGCTGACTTGAGCGCAACCATTAATACAATGCTTATACTTAATATAACTCCTGGACCAAAAAGAAAATGGACATACTCAAGAGACATTGAGGATTTTATTTCACTACAATCACTGTGAAAAAAAAGAGAATAAATGGTCCCAAATTTTTGCATGCTTCTTTTTGTTTGCATACAAACATGCACCCTGATTAAATACTCACAAACATGCACTCTTTGTAAATTCTATAAGTCCTTCATAACATTTATTGGGGAAATGGAGTTTACTCAGTGATACCGTTCTCTGTACAGTATACAGTACATGAGATAAGAAGCAAGGAGTAATTGTTGAACTGACCTATGGTGAGAAGTGGATTCATATACTTTCTAAGTATGAACATAAACTGCCTCTGCTGGAATTAATATTTACAGAATAGTAATTGGAGTCTGATATGCGTTGTGGTATAATGAATATTGCCTCAGAATGGGAAAGCAGATAGCTGAGTTTTTATTCCAGTTGGATTTGTTACATTCACTTATGTGCAAATACCCTTGGGAAAGGTATGTATCCATCTTTTCTCCCCCAGCTATGGGTTGAATAGCAGGGCAGACTGGGTCTTACAGCTTTGTTTGGTAATCAGTGCATTGCAAAAATAAACAGCAGCTTACTGTGGGAAAATTTTCTGCCTAGTCAGTAAATGAATTGAAAGAGACATGATCGTCCAAGTGTGCATTACATATGGTATAGAGTATATATGACATCATCATAACTGCGATAAACCCAACCCAACCCAAAATTCTTCGTTAGTTTAGAAGAAACAATTCTTTTTAGAATATAATTCAGTCAGTTATTTTGCCATATATTTGAACCATTTCTCAATTACTCATATTTTTTAGTACAATCACATGTATTGCTGGTAATATTTTTTTCAAAAATACGTTGCTGGTAATAGTTTTTTTCTTCAAAAATTAATTTCTGGTAATAATTTTTTTACAAAGTATTTCTGGTATTAAAACCTACTTTTACACTTTTATAATGTTTTTTACCTCAGTTTCGGGGTTAACTATTTGCCCATAGCTGGGACCCTAACAGGTGCTACCACCCTGGGTCAGGGTGGACCTGGGAACGCCAGCAATTAAGAGGTGGTTCCACGTTCCTCAAAACCTCCTTATCAGAGGCCATGCTGTTGGACGTAGTTTATCATCTTATCCTAGACGTGGATGTAGTTTATTGTCATACCCAGGACGCTTGACCAACAGGATGAAAGCTTCTTCACCAATGGCATCCAAGCCCTGCAACACTGATGAAAGAAGTGTGTGAACCTCAAGGGGACCTATGTTGAAAAATAAACTTCATTTGGTCACATTCCATGAGAGTATCTTGGTCAGCCTATGAACTTTTCAGCTGACCCTTGTATACTGATAGTACATGTAGGGTTTAGTTGGAGAAACAGAATTTCAATCAGAGAAAATAATAATGTACCCAGGTGTCAGTACATTCCTCTAAAATGCATTGATTTTATTTTTACCTAACTACCCACAATTTGTTTTGTATAGGAAAACTATCATTTCAATTCAATGATAAATACATTCCAGCAATAAATTTTTGAAGAGATATGCCCCAGTTGTTATTTATCTATGAACAGCATTATATTATATTGCCTTTGCTAAAATTAGGGCAAATGACATGTAAGTAACAGAATTATATATATATATATATATATATATATATATATATATATATATATATATATATGTATGTATGTATGTATATATATGTATATATAAACAAACATACAAACAAAACCAAAATAAAAAAAATCAGGGTAACAGCATAAAAGTAGTTTGCATAAAGAATATAACCTTTTTATAAATCATTAAAAATTGATAATAATATAATATTTTTTCAAGTTTATTTAAATCTGCAAATGTCTAAGTGAAAATGTAAAATTAAAAAAACAAATGTTTTGCATAATCATATAATATATGTGTGTGAATGTGTGATTTCAGTATATACACAGGGTGCAGCAAAAATAAAGCTTCTTATTTATTAACTTTTATTGAACAAAAATAAATTACAGTAGTTTAAGAAAACTTGTAAGTATTGTAACATCAAAGCAACATGATCAAAATGCTCCCCTTCATGTTCAATGCAATGCTGAACCCTATCAGCAACACTAGTACAAACCATTTGACACATTTCTACATTAATTTCATAAA